AATATTAGAAATAATGTTTATGTAAGAGCCAAAGAACAAGTAGATATGTCTTGGAGAAATTGCAGCCAGAGTGCTCCTTGGCATACTTTGGGCTTGTTCCTAGGAGAGGCTATTCCTTAGAGATGGTCATCATGCTTGGGAAAGTGGAGGGACAGTGAAGAAGAGGAAGACCCTCAACCAGGTGGATTAACACAGTAACTGCAGGAATGGACTTGTGGGTGTCAGAGATTGTGAGAGGATGGCACCGAATAGGATAGAGTTCAGATCTACTGTTCAGAGGGTCACTATGAGTCATACTCAACTAGATACCTAACAGCCACAAGAACTTCTAGACAAGCACAGACTAGCTCAGATAATGAAGCACTTGACTGCTGTCTGAAAGGTTTATGACTTCAGCCAACCCAATCACTGTACAGGAGAAAGACTTGTCAGTTTGCCCTTAAAGGTTATAGCCAAGTAACCTGTCTGGGGCAGCTCTGCTATGGCACCTGGGTTAACCATGAGTCAAGATGACTCAACAGCACCTCGAAGCTTCTAGGTGTACAGTGTTGTGTTACTGGAATGCATTCTTCCATCCTTCTCTCTAAACTTCTTTTTCCTCTTCCTCTTTAAAGATCTATCTCAAGTCTCCTCTTCACTGTTGTTTGTTTAGATGGGTCAGTTAAAACGCAAGGATAATAGAGTGTCAGCTGTGGACTGCCAGGTTGTGCTATCTAGTGCTGTCTTCATGATCAATGGCATGTTGAAGTTCATTACAGATTGTGGCTTGACATAGTGTCAGTCCATCTTCTTGAAGAGTCCCTTCATTGTCATTTATCCTCTCATTTACCAAACATGATGTCCTTTCTAGATGAATGGCCTAGATGCTATGTCCAAAGTAGGCAAGAGTCTCATCTTCCTGGCTTCTAAAGAGCACTCTGGTTGTATTTCCTATATATGTCTATTTCCTGGAAATGGGTAAGTTTAATTGCTACATCCTCTGTGCTACAAGAGCATAGGTTACTCCTTATTTATTTATTTTTTATCTATGTATTTATTTATCTATTTATCTATCTATCATCTATCTATTTATTTTAGGTTACTCCTTTTAAGAGCAAATAACAACATAGTGACATAAGTTAGTCCCGTAATCCAGGCCAGCATATGGTTACCAGTCAGTGTTCAGTTCTTATTTATTAAACTAAAATAGTTATTTTGCTTTATTTATAATGTTTATTTCATTACCATTTATGTATATATAAAACAAAACTGTAAATACATAGAGAAATGGACATTGTATATATAATCCCTATGCCATGAAGTTCTATTGTTAAATTACCCATTTATTGGTATATTAAAGTAGGGTTTTATATTAGATTATTTTTTATTGCAGGTCAAAACATCTATCCACAACCACAGAGAAAGTTTAAAAACTATAATCAATTTTTTGCTATCTATTACGTCATCCACAAGGAGTAAATTATGCATACCAAGAAGGGAATAATTTTTGTTCAGTTTCCTATTTTGTTTGCATATTGGTGTTTAACAAAACATTAGTTCTTTGCTTCATTTGACATCTTTGTTTTTCCATTGTACTGTATGATTCAAGTAGTAATTATTCTTAACCATCATTATTCAAAATAAGTAAATTATTAACCATATATGTAGGCCCATTATAAAATATGACAAATAATCTAGGTGAATTAATTTTAATAATGAATACTGTTTTAGTATGTCAGATGAAGCTTCAGAATCCTTGCCTCCAAGGAGCAGCCTGGTTTCACCCTCCTTAATATGAATGAGATTTTTTTTCTCCTGGCAGTCCATGTTCAATACTCTTCTCCAGCACCACAGCTCAAAGGCATCAATTCTCTATCATCCCTAGCTATTGTCCAGCTTTCTGATGGATAGGAAGTAATTGTAAAAACCATTGCCTGGATCAGGCACACCTTAGTCTCCAAACTGACATCATTGCTCTTCAATACTTTAGCAAGGTTCCTGACAAAAGACTTTTTCAGTGTAATTCAGGAGGTATTGCTTGGGAAGGTGGGACAGTGCAAAAAAGGAAGACCCTTTATGAGATAGATTGATTCAGTGACTCGGGTAATGGGGGTAGGTGTGTCAGAGACCATAAGATTGGCACAGGATAGAGCAGGGTATAGGGCTGTTTTACATAGGGTCTCTATGAGTTGCAAGCAACTTGACAGCACATAACAACAATATATTGTTTTAAGCCATCATATTCTAAATATTATTTTTTTAATATATAAAAAGTAGGACAATATTAGTGAGAAAGCTCAAATTCGTTTTTGTACAATGTCCTCAAAATTTTTTTTTTACACTTACCGCACTTTTCACTTGGTTCACGTGAAGCCATTCATTGTCATTTTAGGGAGTGTCATTATCTTTGGCTTGAATATTTACCATGTGCTATGTGTTTACCTCTGTTAATCTTTCAGGTAATCCCACAGCAACTCTGCAGTTGGTATTATTGCCATCACTTTACAGATGGGGGGGGGGGAAATCAGGCTTAAAGAAAATTCTGGAAAAACCCATTGTTGTACACTTGGAACAGACTCTCATCTGACCCTCCAGTGAGTTTGGGAGACTGATTGTAAATCACATGGGGCAGATTGCCCATCTTTCTTCTGTAACGCCACTGGTGTATTCGGACCTCTAAGAAGGGACTACCTTTGGATTAACAGAGCATATACCTATAAACTGTATCAGCACACTCCTTTAAAGAGGTTAGGTTATTTTTTTTGAGATGCACTATTGAGTGTGGTAGACCTGTGATTGAGAATAGAGAACTGGCTTCAGTATAATTCACAAAATTAAAATAAAAGCCATCTAGGGAGACAATTATGGCATATTTTGAAGTGGTTGTAAAATATACTGAAAATTAGATGTAGGAGTGAATGGAGTGCCTTAACTTAGCAGCAGGTCACAAGGTGTTTAGAAACATGTTTGAAAGAAACATTTTTTGAATAAAATACGGAGAAGAAAGGGCAGAACTAGTTTACCCATTAAGATGCTGTCACCCATACTCTTGGAACTTCATTTATTTTCTGCCAGTAGGTTTGTGTGGTGACCGTTTGATTGTCCCGTATTTAGAACAGAGCAGCTTCTCTTTTCTCCCATTTTAAATTTGCATCTGCTACATGAAGTTTGGGTAAAAGTATATGTGCTAGTGACAGGTATAAATTAAAGCTTGAGTCTCTGAACAACCTTGATGCCATAGCTTTATTATAAAGGTCTGTAAAATATTATCCTGGTGTCATGGATTATACAAATGTGCACAAATGGCAGTTTCTTCCTTTCCCTTCACACAATGTTAAAAATGAGTAAAATATGTTTCCCATTGCACTTCCCTTGTGCTTGGGGATTCAATGAACTCATTTTAAGTTTCCATGTCTTTATAAAAATGTTTTGCTTTTACTGAAATATGTTTTTGATCAGGAACATAATTTCATGATTGCGTGTGTGTTTCTGAAGCAAATATGTATATGGAACAAGTGCACCGAGGAGGGCTTGGGCTCGGTGACTGAGGCCAGGGCTGAGACAGCTTGAGTTCCAACCTCAGCCTTATTACTAACTCATTAGATGATTTTGGAGATGGAACCAACCACTACCTCACTGCCTATCTCATAAATCTCTCATCCTTTTACTGTCTCATTTCTAGATCGGAACAAAACCAAACTCATTATTGTCACGCCAAATCCAACTCATAGCCACACTGTAGACATCAATCCCAAATTAAAGTCACACTCTAAGCCATCAGTTAAAATGCATAGCCACCCTAGAGGACAGAACAGAAACACTACAGATTGGTAAATTATTCTAGAAATAGACTGCATGTCTTTCATTGGCAGAGCTGCTGGTAGATTTGAACCACTCACCTTTCCATTAGCAGCCTCATACTTGATCCACCATGTCACCAAGGCTCATTGATTTGTTCAACAGAAAATAGAGTTGGTCAGCTTCGGTATGATTTGTTTACGGAACGTAAACAAATTGTTTGTAATCATAAATTAAACTCAAAATAATAAAATGTCATATACCTTATATAAGCACTATGTAAACAATAGTTATTTATTTTTTAAAAAATCAAACTTTGGATATGTGGCTCATTTTTTCAGGGCTATTATTGTTGTTATATACCATCGAGTCAGAATGACTTATAGTTGAACCTCCAGCAGATTTTCAAGGACAGTAATTGCATGGGAGGAGATTATTATTCATCTTTCTCCCAAGAAGTTGCACAAAATATTAAGGTAACTTGTTTTTCTCACCCTCGTTTTTTACCCTACTTGGTGAGGGAGATAGAAAATGTAATCTTCTCATAAAAGCAATACTATCACTAATAGTAGTAATTTCTTTTTAAGAAGCATTTATGGACTCTGTTAATTTTACACATTGTTGTTGTTGTTCTTGTGTAACATAGAGTTGGAACCAACACATAGCTGACCCTCCAGTGGGTTTTCAGAGGCAATTAATCACACAGGAGGAGATTGCCCATCCTTCTCCTGCAGAGCGGCTGGTGGCCTCTAACCGTGTGCCTTTGGGATTGCAGGGCAGTTTCTTGCCACTAGGCCACCAGAGCTCCCCTGATTTAATTCTGATGCTATGAGAGATTGTGTATTATCTGTACCTCATAAATGAAGACAGTACCTCACTCAAAAGTTTTAATTAACACCCCATTCTTGTTTCTAGTCAGACCTTGAATCAAAGTGAATTTAAGTTCAGACCCTGTTCTTGTAAACAGCAGGCTGTACATTGGCTCAGAAAGAACCTATTGTAATACTTTGGAAGATTGGCATAGACCTTAACAGTCACATAGTTAAAAGCCAGAGCTCTCAGTTCTCACATTCCTAAACTCACAGCTGTGTTAGAATTTTGACATACTTATTGTGCTTTAGTAAGGGATAGAGCAACTTAGTAAACACGACTGATCCTTGCTTTGATCTTTCTGACTTTGAGAATTACTCCTGTTTACTCTCTTTTTTTTTCGCCCCTCCTAGGAACCTTGGAAAGCAAGGGGCTGCATATTTTCAACTTGACTTCTCTAACCAAGTCTGAAAACATTTTGTCTGCCACATTGTATTTCTACATTGGAGAATTTACAAACGTCAACGTGAGTTGTCCAACATCTCAAGGATGCTCACATCAAGCACAGAGGAAGCACTTTCACATTGATCTCTCTGCATGGATCCTCCAATCCAACAGAAACCAAAGTCGGCTGCTAGGTCATCTTTCCCTAAATGCAGCAAAGCCACATCGGGACACTATGAGCTGGCTGTCTAAAGACATCACCCAACTCCTGAGGAAGGCTAAGGAAAATGAGGAGTTTCTTATAGGATTTAACATTACCTCCAGAGAACACTCGCTGTCCAAGAGGATACCTTTCTTTCCTGAGCCTTATATCTTGGTGTATGCCAATGATGCTGCCATTTCTGAGCCAGAGAACGTGGTATCAAGCTTACAGGGACATCGGAATTTCCATACTGGGGCCTTGCCCCACTTGGATGGTCACATCAGGACTACCCTTTCTATGGAAAGGAGGAAGAAGCGCTCCACTGGGGTCCTGCTGCCTCTGCAGAACAATGAGCTTCCTGGGGCGGAATATCAGTATAAGGAAGACGGCATTTGGGAAGAGAAAAAAACTTACAAGACACTTCAGACTCAGCCCCCTGAGAAGAGTAAGACCAAAAAGAAACAGCGAAAGGGACCTAACCAGAAAAGCCAGACACTCCAATTTGATGAGCAGACCCTGAAGAAGGCTAGAAGAAAGCAATGGATTGAACCACGGAATTGTGCCAGGCGATACCTCAAAGTTGACTTTGCAGATATTGGCTGGAGTGAATGGATTATCTCTCCCAAATCCTTCGATGCCTATTATTGCTCTGGAGCATGCCAGTTCCCCATGCCAAAGGTATCAGTCATTCCTTATCTTTGAATACTTCCTATGTCCATAAGCTAGGTGAAAAGTTTCCTAAAATGTGTGCTTCTAACCATTTGAATTTTAATCTACAAAACCTGTCCCCTTTTCACTTTGTTCTAAACTGTAATAGATAATATAGCTATGCTTCTTTCTTTTTTTGTCTTTTTTTTTTTTTAACTAGGAAGCTCTGGTGACGTAGCAGGTAATAACTGTACTGACGTCCCAAAAGTTGTTGTTGTTGTTATTGTTGTTATTTGCCATCAAATCACCTGTGACTCATAAAGACCCTTTAAACAAGAGCCCTAGACCCTGCTCTATACTGTGCCAATTTTGTTGTCTCTGACACACCCTACCCCCATTACCCCAGTCACTGAATCAATCCACCTCATAGAGGGTCTTCCTCTCCTGTGCTGTCCTTCCACTCTCCCAAGCATAACATCCTTCTGCAAGGACTGGTCCCTCATTGCAACATATCTGAAGAAGGTCAGACGAAGTTTCAGATTCCTTGCCTCCAAGGAGCAGCCTGGTGTCACCCTTTCCAGGACAAACTTGTTTGTTCTCCTGGCAGTCTATAGTACTTTCAATACGTTCCCCCAGCACCCTAAAAGTAAACAGTTCAAAATCATCAGAGGCTTTGAGAGAGCAAAATACACAATTTTGAAAACCTGCAGTGAAAGTCAGCTATGAGTCACAAGTTGATGTCAATATGTTAGTTCTAAAATATTCTAAAATCAGTATTGACATGAGGGGAAATATTTGTGGAAAATATATTTTTTGCATTGATTCCAAACATGATGTAGCTTTATAGTCATGAATAAATCACCACCTGCAACAAAAAACAAACCCTGGGTAACAGAAGGTTGGCCTTTTTCAAGAGGCTCAGGGGACATCAGGAGACCCACAGAAAGAGCTAATGGCATTAGCAGAACATATTTTGATATAGCCTCCTGTGATACAGTTGACCCCAGGGAAGTCAAGGTCAAGCAAGGGTAGGCCAGAAAAATTTCCTCAGTGACCCCCATGAGATGTGTATTTAATTTGTTTTCCTGATAATCATCTAAAATAATAACAAAACAAGAGTATGATACATTTGTTCCAAGATCTGTTTCAACCTGTGAGAAGTTGACTATCTCTTCCTAAGTCAGTCGGGGTTATACCTTATCATATCAGTTCTCCAAATCCTTACAGAGAGGTTTTCAGTGGCCTCTTTGGCCCCTCCTTCTGTCTTCTTTCTTTCTGAATTTAGAGTGAGTCAGATAAAGTCAGCCCCTCTGGCATGCAGGTAAACTTATAGCTGTACTTTCATTCTCAACCTGTAACCATTTGAATCTATGTTATGCAATGACAAATGTCTCTAGGCATGGAATTCAGAGGAAGAAGGGATTTTGTGTAAAACTCACAAAGTTCACCAGTCCTCTGTGATAATTATAGTTGAATAGGAAAAAACCCATTGCCTCAATCAATTTTTAAGGTAGTGTTTTTATGTCTCAGAATAATGCTTTATTGTTGTTGCTGTGTGCTGTAGAGTTGGAACCGACCCGTAGATAACCCTCCAGCAGGTTTTAAGAGACAGTTATTCACATGATAGGAGATTACACATTCTTTTCCCACAGAGCAACTGGTGGCCTCAAACCACTTGCCTTCGGGATTGCAGTACAGTTTCTTGCCACTAGGGCTATCAGACCTCCCTCCATATGATTATTGAGATGCTAAATGTAACACACACATAAAGCAAAGGGCTAACTTCATAAAGTATGGTTAACTGTGAGGCCAGAAACTTAAGATCACACAATTTCGTGTTATTTTATGGGATGAGATTTCTACATTTTCTAAAATGTTACCTCTGTAAGGATTTGTTCTGACTCTATATTTTATAAACCCACTGCAAGTGTTAAATGTATTTACAGTTGGGTAATAGTCTCAGGGAGTTCTGATGGCCTAACCTATAGTGAGTTGCACTGCTAACCTGAAGGCTGCTCCTCTCTGGCAGTTCAAATCCACCAGTGGCTTTGTGGGAGAAGGTGGATAATTTCCTCCTGTGATTTACAGCCTTCAAAAACCTGCTAGGAATCCATTTTTACTCAAGTGCAATGAACAAGTTTTTTTATATTTTCTCTTTTCATTTCATTTCTTTCTCCTTTAATCTTTGCTATTTCCTTTTGTTCTGGTTGACTGGGGGTTTCTTTTGCTGCCTTTTCTATAGGAATCCCAGAACACTTGATTGTGCTTATACAGACTCTATATTCGGCCCAGGAAGCAGTCCTCAGAACAAAGCAAGAAAATACTGCATAGTTCAAAATCAGAAAAGGACTGCTTTAGGAATGTATCCTTGTCTCCATACCTTTTCAATCCAAATGCAAAACAGATCAATTTTGAGGGTGGGCTTTATGAGAAAGAACGAGGCATCAGCATTGGAGGAAGATTCATCAACAATCTATGTTATACTGATGACACAACCTTGCTTGCTGAAACTGAGGAAGACTTGACATGCTTGCTATAGAAGGTCAAGGATTGTAGTCTTCAATATGTATTGAAGCTCAACATCAAAAAGACAAAGAGTCTCAAAATGGGCCAAATGACAACACCATAGATGATAGATGGAGAAGAGATAGAGGTTTTAACAATTACAGCTAGCTCAGCTCCACAGTCAACACTCTTGGCACCAGAAGTCAGGAAATCAAAAGACGAATTGTTCTGGGAAAATAATGCTGTCAGGGACCTCTCCAGAGTACTGAGAAGTAACGATGTCAGTCAAGAGAATAAGGTGCACTTGATCTAGACCATGGTCTTCACAATTACTTGCTATGCATCAGAAATCTGGATAATGACTAAGGATAATGGAAGAATTAATGCTTTTGAGCGATGCTGGAGAAGAGTCTTGAACATACAATGAACTGTCAAGAAAACAGATAGGTCTGTCTTGGAGAAAGTGAAATCAAATTTCTCCTTGGAGGTTAGGATTTTGAAAATCTATCTTGCATGGTTTGGGCCTGTGCCCAGGAGGGACCATTCCTTGGAGGAGAACATCATGCTTAGAAGGATGGAGAAATAGTGCAGGAGAGAAAGACCCAGGATGAGATGGATTGATACAGTATCTGGGTCAATGGTTGTACATATATTGGAGTCAGTGAGACCTGCACAGGATAGAGCAAGCTTCAGGGCCATTGGTCATAGGGTTGCTATTAGTCACAGATGATGACAGATAACAACATAGCTTTGAGGAATTTATTGTAGCTCTCTTCCTTTTTGATGTGTTGTTTTATTGCTGTATATTATGTGTATGGAATGATATCAAGGATATCATCCATGAA